TCTATTGTGGGTTTCTCATGTAAGACAAACCGTGTGATGTCTGAGCTGGTGAGTCTGCTGTACGTCACGGAGCAGGCTGGCCTCAGAGTGTCCACTGTCCTACAAATGACTCAAGTCTGTCCTTCTTTGAGAGTGGCAGAGAGGTGCTCCACTGTGTGCAAGGACCTCGTGTCCTCATCCATTCTGTGCTGACGGACTCACGGGCTGATTCCAAGATTTCGCTCTCATAAACTGCGCAGCCCGGCAGCTATCACTCTGCTGTGGTAACCCTAATGCTTTGCGGAAGATGCCTGCCAGGGGAGCAGCGGGGTCCGGTGGGATTTCCTTTCTTAGTTTTTTCAGGACCCTCCACCCTGGTTCCCACCAAGGCTCTCCTAGTTCACATGTCCACCAGCAGTATAGAAGCGTTGGTTTGCCCCACACCTTCCCCAACATTTGTTCTTATTTAATTTCTCAATGACGGCCGTCTTTTCTGATTTGCAAGAGATTTTTGTAGTTCATCTTTGACTTTAAAAATGTATTTATTTTAATGAGCATTAAATAGATTTGGAAAATTATAATCAATTATACTGAAGGAAGATCTCCATTTCTCGGCTGTGATTTTGGTTTCATCATACTTTAATTACCGACAACACTAGAGTTGATTCTGATAGTCATTTATTTCTCAGCTTGTGTGCTGGGTGGCCTGGGTTGATGGATAAGGCCTTGTGGTGAGGACAGAGAAACACGAGGTAAGCGCTGGAATAACATTTGCACTTGTCTTCACTTAGATGGGTAAGGCTGCACCATGCCTGGTATAAAGCCTGGAATTATCCCAACTACCAGGATCACAACTGGCCTCACAACTGGTCGGGCATAATAACAATGAAAATTCAGTGTCCTTTGTGAAAATAATTATTAAGAATTCTAAGGCGCTGGTTATACAATAGTGCCTGTCTGAAATGATCCAAATCAGAGCCAGGGGTCGGGGCCAGAGTTTCCTGGATTTATGTTGTACTCAGTTGCATTTTGGAAAAAAAAATAAAAACAAAACCTAGAAAGCATAAAATACATGGGCATAGAAGAAGTTATTTAAAGAATTTTCTTTCAGTACTTAATGAAACAAAAGACAATGGAAATTGCTCCTGCGGATTGATGCACCCGCTGCTGTCTTTGCACATAGCTTTGCATAGTGTGAGCCATCGCGCAGAGCTGGCTGATCACACAGCCGTGGGCTACTGTGGTAGGGGACGCGCTGCCGACAGCTCACAGAAAAGAATCTGAGGTTCAGAAAAAGACAAAGGCTCCAGAACAGTGGGGACCTGAGTAAGTAGAAGAGCTGGAACTTAAAGCTGACTTCTATTTCTATTCCCTGGGGGAAACCTATGCAACCAATGCCATGCCAAGCAATTTCAGGTATCATTTGTATAACTCATCAGAAATCTGTCAGCTAATTCAGACCACACTCTTCACAGAAATTAAAGAAAAGCTTGAGCCCATTAGAAGATACAGAATGTGGCTCCTTCAGAGTTGAATTTGTAGTACAGTGATAGCACACATTCACACATCTCTTAGGTTTTTGCTTGGCTATATTCCAAATGCTCCCGTATAATCTCAGCCCCGCCCCCTTGAGGACACTGGCTGAGACCCTGCTACAGATGCTTCTGCTTTGCTAATTCCAGGACAGGGCAGGGTGTGGCTTGCTGGTTTGCAGACTGGACATGGTTATCACTGGATCTCCCCAGAACCACGGGAGGGAGTGTTTCCCTCAACAGGAAGACTGAGAGCTCGAGGTTGTTTCTGAGAGCTATCTTGGGTTGTACTTTCTAAGCAAATGGGCAAGGATTCTGGAAAGACTCTAGTAACATATTTATTGCAGAAGTTATAGTTATTCTTTTTATGTTATACACAAACTAAGCCAGGCTGGTGGCAAAAAGCGAAGCCTGCTGGTCAGTGGTTTTCCTAAGATAGGAAAGCAACATCCCAGTTCTAGAGAACAAGAAGAAAGATTTATCATTCTGAGTGCATTCAAGGGATACCATTCTCATCGCCCCCTGCAAGGAAGACATTTGATAACTGTATCATCGTGCTCAAATGAAAGCGCACACAACGACTTTAAGTAGACATAAGTAATGGAGAGTTTTATGGCCATCCTGGAATGCCGGCCCACAGTGACTAACGTTTTAATGGGAACATGCTTCTCAAAAAACCATAAATTCTAGACCCTGAAGTCTGCATTCTCTGCCTATTTATCTTCCCATTTTACTGTCTGACTCGCTGGAGGCGCCCAATACTTTCTCATTGAATCAATAAGTAAGAATGGACAGAAGGTAACCAGAGTTGACTTATTTATTTAGTACTGCAGGGTACCACCTAACACTACCATAAAAGTTGTTTTCCATCCAGGGAATACCAACAATTTAAAAAATATCTAAAATAAGAAAAACAAATTGAAGATAGTGGAATTCTATCTGTTATTGTGAATGTAACAGAACAGGCTTTGACTCATTATTTTAGTAGCACGATGTCATAGTTCTTTTTTGGGCAGTATTTTATGGATAGCATGGAAGTATTTTTATTGTGGGTGCCTTCAGACAATGACAATTAGTGTAAACTGTAGCACTTGGAATAAGTTAAAACTGTGGATTAAAGTCTCAAAGCTAGTTTTCTCATTAGAGAGTGCTTCAGTGTTTGTTTTTTGTTTTTAATTATGTGTGCTTCTGTGTCCAGCGTGTACTGATGTATGTTAGCATGTGGGGTGACCGAGACTCACCAACCAGGGTGTACTCTGCGCACTTTCTTGGGTCTCTGGGAGTCCTCAGCCTTTATGCACCGTGAGCACAAGAGAAGCTATCGCTGTCGTAGAGATCAGTCATGACCACACAAGGAACACACAACTCTGTTGTGGCTGCTTTTGGCAAGAAGAGAGTGTGGTTTCTATGATAATCTGACGTGGAGATTTTGCCCTTTGGTCTTTCTGGTTCTTTTCCTTCGTGGCCCGCCGGCTGCTCAGGCAGCTTGCATTCCTCGGGAGCAGACGCGCATGCAGCGCCCCGCAGAGACCCCTGTCGTCGCTCCAAGCTCATGGCTTTCTGGCTGGTTTCATGGCGGGCTGTGATCCCCTGGATAGCTTCTCTGTACGTTTTGCTTGCTGTTCATAGAAGCTGGGTCACCTCCAACCGCATTCATCCAGTGTGATGTGTCTCTACCTGACGTCCCCAAGGGCTGTATCCTTTTCTGATTTTTACTTATATTCTTAGCTGCCAATGTAAACCTCATTACTACCAGGACGGATCCCAAGGACCTGTTTGGTGCAATGGAGACACTACTGGACTTTTAAATTGTACCTAAAGCTTGTAAGACTTTGGGATTCAGTTTTTCGGACTGTTCTGACGTTCTGTGGGTCCTGCTCTTCCACTGTAATACATCCTTCAGGAGGTCTTAACTTTTTAAATTTACATTCCTCTAAAGATGAGTTTTTGTTATGAACTAAGAACTTTGGGTCTCTTGATGAAGCCTATATGGTGCACACTGTAAGCACAAGTACGATCCTTCATGTAGGAGCTAATTCTGCACGTGACTAGGAGTCAGCTGAGGAGAGATATTTGAGATTTATGATACCAGCCATGACAGGAGTCCTAGCTCTAAAGTCCTGTGCAGTTTCATTCAAGTCATCCTATTGACATTTTATAAGGTAACCTATAAGTGTTCCATTATCAATTAATAACAATGCTTATTCATACACTATAAATTCAGTTACAATTTAAGATAGGTATGATGATTCAATGATAGGTATGATGCACCTCACTAAACATTTTAATAAGGGTATAGTTTGGTAAGTAAATACATTTTTTACTTTACCAAACCATTCACAAATTTGCTGCAATATCATATGACTAAACCTCATCAAGTTTGTTTTAAACTCAAAATGTATGATTGGCACAGTAGTATACTCATAAGCTCATGGACGCTGCAGGGCACGGTGGTACAGGCCTGTAACCTCAGCACTCAGGAGAGGCTGAGGCAGGAGGGTCGTCATGAGCTCAAGACCAGCCTAGGCTTCAAAGCCAGCCTGAGTTGCATAGAGACCCTATCTCAAAAAGACAAAAAGAAAGTGCTTATATGCCTATATGAAACTAATTACAAATCATGACAAATGATATTTTCTGTATGTATCATGCTTATTTGGGGATTTCTATTTTGGGAAGTTTCTGGAAAATATGAGTAAAGTACGATCAGGTACAATTCTTCCAAAATTTGTATTTTACTCATATTTTTGTAGTTTGTAGTTTATCTGACCCACCCAGTTTCAAAATTTCTCCTGTATCTTAAAAATATTTACCAAAACATTGCCTAGTGATAAACACCACTGTGGAGAACATACAACTATTCAATAAATAAGTATCCACCCCTGAAATAAAACCACAGTTATATTGCCTCTCTCCTTTCAATCTTATTTTGAAACATTTTACCAGGTCTAAATTCTCTCCTATCTGCAGCTCAAATGCAAGTTTTCCAGTGCTAATGATTTATTATACATTTATTATAAAAATGCATTTGTAACAGTAATCTTTCTCCAGATAATCAAATTACTATGTAGCAATGTTAGCACAATGGTGTGAATGATAACTTACAATGTTAAATTGGAGAAATAAATTATATCCTGACACAATAAACAAAAAAAAAATAAGCATCATACCTGAAGACTATAAACTTGTTATGACTTTCAATTTAAGACAACTGGAATTCTTTTGCCTCTTGTAGTTATGGATATACCCAATGAAAAGACCTCCTCAATGTAAGATGCTTGTAGAGTTTGAGTTTTATGTAGTCTGAATTTAAGTATGTAAGATTGGGAATAAAATCAGTGCTGATGCTAGCATATATATATATATATATATATATATATATATATATCGTGTCTTTGTGGCGACTACGTTCTTACATAAATGAGACTCTCCTCTCCAGTCTTCTGCCGCAGCATCTCTCCTGTAACCTGCACGTCTTTCTCTTCTGTCTAGATCGGGGCACCGTTCAGAAGGTCGTCGTTCTCCCGACCAACGGCTCTGCCAGGGGCGAGCTCATTCTGGAGGAACTGGAAGTGTTCAAGGTTTGAGCATCTCTTGGTCTCAGAGCATGCGTGATGAATGTGTCTCTAACCTTACAGCCACTTGGGAGGAAAAAAATATTGGATAGAAGATCAAATAAATGAATGTTATAAATTTTGCATGTAGGAAAACATCAGATAAAATGAGAGATCTAAAACAAATATTTTGGTGAAGTATTTTCTTGCACTGTAAGTTGTCTTAACATAAAAGGGTAACTTTTCCCCCAGCTGTCATCCCAACTTGGAGAATTTTGCTTGCCATTATTATTATTATTTTAAATGAGTTCTTGTGGTCAAGGCCTGGAAGACTTTGCTATGATAAGACCTTAGTCATTTGGTTCTCCAGCCTCTGAGACGCAAATGTCTTATAGTTGATTGCTAGATAAGCTTTCTCATTTTTTTGTAAACAATTATTTTGACAAAACTGCATTTTATCTTGTTTTATTGTCTTTACTTCAAATGTCACTAAATAAAACAAATGTATCTTCCCACTTAACTCTTCATATGCTACTAAAACATGAGAATTATGATTTTTCTTACCTTAGAATTTTGAATTTAAGGGCTGAGGAGATGGCTCAGTGGAATAAGCGCTTCCCTGGCAAGCGCAAGGGCCTGAGTTCAATCCCCGGTTCCGAAAAAAAAAAAAAAAGAAAAGAATTTTGAATTTAAAACAAAAAAGAATAGTACAACACAGAGAACAGGTACTCAGGGGAAGTTCAGGTCTCCAAGTTTTCAAGTGCTCAGGGCAGAGTCTCATTCTTTATGAACCCGTGAGCCAAGAGGGTGGGCTTATGCTGGCCTGCTCGCCCTTTGCTCCACTAATTATCCATTGCTGTGGTTCAAGGGGTGCCCTGGAGATGTGACTGACACAGTACGGAGGAGTTACTAGAGCTGCAAAGAACTGTTGGCATGGCCCCAATCCTTCTTTTTCCAACTAAGCCAATCAGGAGACAGTGGCTCGGGGACAACAAAAGCCTGAGACAGCCCAGGACGGAGTGGCAGTGACACTTAGGAGCTCCTGGGAGCAGAAGGCTGCCAGCGCAGGGAGCTGCTGTGCTTCCCTGAGTGGGTTCCGGGTGTTTTGACTCATGCATATGCATTTCAGTGGTCGCTAACACTACTGAGTCAGTAACCACATTAAGTGCTTAAGGGGTAACGCTGTTAGACTCTGCTAATAAATTTTAAAAATAAAAATAATGGTAATCAAGTCAAATAAAAAACTGAAAAGTGCTGGTTAATTTCCCTATATGTTATTATGCTTTTAATTTTCAATGCTAGATGTATTGGCTTCAGGTTCTTTGAAATCAAGACACTAGATTTGTGCTCATAATATTAATTCCCTGTGTTCAAGTAGTTTTTCCAGTTGCTTTACAAAGTAGTTTTGCTTTGGAAAGAAATTAATTATTTCATTACATTAACCCAAATTGCATTTTACACACAAACACACACAGGAACACATGTGCGCACATACACATACACACACACTTCATGTTCGACCTAATAGTGACTGCCATACTGGCCAAGCTAATGGGATGTACCCCATTCTGAGGCTTCCTTGAAGATAGCAGGAAGTCTGTATTGTAGCACTTCATTTTTAATACTGAGACATCATTTTTTATTATCAGGAAATGTTAATTAAGTGAGACTGACACAAACCCAAACATACGTGCTGTGGAAAATTCGTAAAGCAAAGGGAGTTGTTCTGGTCAAGTGAGAACTGCTGATGACCTGCAGCGTGAGCTGTGCGGCTGCTAGCGGCACGAGCGAGCTCTCCGCGGAAGGAGAGTCGGCCAGAATGCGCCAGGCGAGGGCATGAGCCCGGAGAGCGGCGAGAGCGCCTGTGATCCGCAGAACGAGCCGGAGACGCAGCTACCAAGCCTAGTGCCGCCCTCATCGCGGTGCTTGGGTCACGTTTCCTGAGTGGGGTAAAAATAACCGAATGTGTACGACCCACTGCCAAGGGCTCCCAAAGAAACAGTGCGCCCGCGTGGGCCAGCCCTCCTCTCTGTTGTGCTGATAGACTGCGGAGACCAACGGCAGTGTCTAGAAAACCAGACACTGCGCAGCGCAAATAGCCTCAGGCTTTTATGCCACCTTCTGCAAAGGCTTAGATCCCTTGCGCCGAAATCCAATTGAAGCAGCTAATGTTCGCAGTTTTCAACAATGAGAATTAATTAGCACAGTTCAGCCTAATCCATCTTTCCCAAAACCACACACGGCAGGCAAACACCAGTGCCTTTGGCCGAGGGTTGTGGTGTGGGGTCAGGCCGCAGGCCCAGGCGCCCTAAATTCACTGTTCCAACACGCAGTTTCGAATTATCTCCGAGTTTTCTCACGCCAACATGGTGTAGATGGTGACTTATAACTGTTCCTTTTCGCTCCCATGCATTACATAACTAGTCCATCCCTGGTCCCCAAAGAGGAAAACATGCTTTATTCAGGTGTGTGTGCTCAGAAAAAAAAATGATTTTCTTGAATTTTTACCTAAAATATCATTTATTTGAATTTAAAATATTTTTCAAGAATACAAGAGCAACTAACATGGTGTTTTGTTATCTTTTAGAATCGTGTTCCCATAACAACTATGAAAATCTCACCCAAGAAGGTAAGGACTAACCCCTTTTTTGTTCTTTGCATAATAAAGTGTTTTGCTTTCCTGTGAGTCATTTCATAACTTCTGAAAATCTAGTTTTAGTGTTGACAAAATAGTTAATACTTTTTAAATGATATTACCAAAACACTTTTAATTGTGATGCATACTTCACTAGCTTTTAAGAAAAGCTCGAATAGGCTCATTTTTGTATAAAGGTTCATGAGAGCAGAAAAGATATACAGAAAGATATTCCAACATTTTGTATATCCTACATTCTCAAGTATTATAGTGTGTGAGCCAACTAAAATAAAAATAGTCTTTCTGAGGGAAGAGTTTAGCATAATGTTTGGGCTACTGGAACAGCACGATGTCCCCAGGGGCTCAGGTAAGCCTCAGTGCTCCTCTCAGTTCCTGCTGCTTTCCCCTGTGTGAAATGTGCAGGGCCGACCAGCTAGCTCAGTGGATTAAAGGACCTGCTTAGCTGGGTGCAGGGAGCGGGGTTCGATCCCCGGCATGCTGTGCACGCCCTTCCCCTGGGGCGCACTGAGACTTTGATTGAGACCGGGTGTGGAGGGGTGTGCCTGTAAGCCCAGTGCTTGAGAGGCTGAAAACAGGAGGATCACTACAAGCCCAATCTGTGTAGTGAGACTCTGTAGACCATATACTAAATACAAAACACAGAAAAAAAGAAAGAAAGAGAAGAAAATGTGTGATGCCCTTCTTTACTGGTTAGTTTTGGAGAACTCCTATTTCCTAGGGTCTGTAAATGTCAGAAGAATTAAGCATCTTAAATTTAAGGGGACAGGATTTGAGGAAGAACGGTTTGAGTGTGCTTATCGGGGTGCTCTAAGTAATCTAACTGTGCCTCTGCGGGCACGTATGCGATGGCCAGGGACAGGAGTGGCCAGGCACAGTCTCCAGTTCTGGAGGCATTTCTTCAACCACAGGTCTAAGGGGCAGAGGAGCACAGTCTGGGTGGCCTGCGCTTCCAGGTGGGGCTGACATGCATGTGAACCCCAGCTTGGCCAGGCATGCGGGACAATCCTGTACCTTCTCCGATGCAGGGCTCTCCATCTGTGTGAGTGCCCTTTCTGCTAACAAGTGAATGTGTAAGAATTGCCTAAAATAAAGCAACTCCTCTGCAAACGCTGTCTGGGAGAACCTGAGACCTATTTTTCTTGGAATAGATAATAAAGGTTTAATGTTTGCACAACTGATTATATAATTGTAGTTCTCCTCACCATCACTGATCTGTTACACCAAGTGTCTGTCGTGTAGTATGCCAGTTCTACTTGACCACATTTTATGAGGAAAACTAAATAAGGTACAATGGCACTGAAGACCTCATCTGTAAAAATGTTTGCACGGTGCATGACAAACACTGTCCCAATTCACCAGAAGCCATTTGTCACGCTGCCTAATGTCCTAGGGAGCTGATTCCCAGTCAGAATGGTCTTTGAAGTCAGCAGGGAAACCGTGGTGTGTTTACTCTGGCTTAATGGAAAGAGAAAGTGTCTGAGCAAACCACAGTGGACGCAAACCTGTCCACATGGCATGGTAGTCTGCCCCAAAATGAGAGGTTTCAGCCTATTGGTAGCTGAACTATGACTTCTGTGTTCAACATCTTATATTGTAGATCATCTAAAATGCTTCATTCAATCTATTAGACTTAGGAAGGGTAATTATTTGACTCTTAGGAGTTTATTCACAAAACTTTGCAATGCGTTGATTTTCATGTGAGAGGACTACAAATTATGCAGTATGCATTATGCATATTTAAATACCAAGAATTTAGTACCATTCTTAATACTCAAACTGTTTCATTATTCATTTTATACCTTTATTGTCAATTTAGTTTTGTGTTCTATATAGCAGAACATAGTGGAAATAATAAATGGAAACTCTCTAGAAAAAAAATACCTAAGACTTTCTCACACTCAGGTGCCTTAAAATTTTAATGAAACTAGTACATTCCCTGAGTGATTATTTTATTTACTTAACAGTCATTTATTTCCAATTTTCTTGTACAAATGGTTATTGCACAAATAGTGGCTGTTTTCATGGCATTTGAATGTCTAAATGAGGGAACCATCTATTTCAGCAAAAATTCAGAAAAAAATATCAATTGATCTGAAAGCAATAGTTCACTAAATATAGTAGATTTGAAGTAGATTTGAATAAGATTCAAGCGAAAACATGTGAGTTAATCTTTTTGCTAATTGATTTTTACTTAATATTGTTATTAATATTTATTGAGCACTTATGAGCTAAGGCCCAGTGAGAGCATTCTGTGGGATAGAAACTCCACATACGTCTCTTACAAACACCCCGCAGGATAAAATCTGTGTTGTTCCACCTTTCCCCTTGAGAAGCTGAGATTCAGAGAAGTTACACAGCAGGCCGGCCCGAGACTGGACCCCGGGAAGCTGGTTGGTAGCCCCCAGAGTCTGGTGAATAATGGCACACCCATAGTTTCACCACACACACACATACACACACACACACTAGGTGCTGGGAATTGAGCCCAGGGACTTCGTACTGAGATACATCCCAGGCCTTTCTCCTTTTCACTTTTAGATGGATCTTTAGCTAGTCCAAAGTGAATTGGAATTCAGAGTCCTCCTGCTCCAGTCTCCATGAGTGCTGGGATTGTAGGCATCTGCTTGGCTCCATTTAACTCCTAAGTGTACACTTTTGTAGGGGACAGGGATGTCCGTCTCACTTCTTGCCGTCAGTCCATGGGTCAGCCTTAGGGACAGTGCTCACGTGAGTCACAAAATGCTGCTCCTGTGGCAAATAAGGAGTGTCCCTTACAGACATCCACTCAGGTCCTCTGCCTGCTAACCATTTAGGAGCTGCCGGCTTCCAAGGTTTCTATCCTGGGCAAGTGAAGAAGGATAAGATATTTATTCATGACTTCTCCAGCAGATAAAGATTGTGGATCATGCAGGGATTTCAAGATATGTTTAAATATAAATGCCAAGATTTCTCTAAGTGATTTTAAATCATTTTAATGAGTAATATGCTGCTTCTCAAGATACAACAAAAAGTTTTTAATCTGATGCTATTTTTTTCCTTCTAAACATAATGTGCCCTTTATTTTAAACCTGGCATTTTTCAAATTTACAGAGTAATGATTTGCCAGGGTTGAAGAGGAAGCAGGCTGCCTTGTGGTCTGCAGAGAGACAGTACTCAAAGGGAAGGAAAGCACCAGAATTTAGATCTGCACTTCACAAGCCCGGCTCCCAGCGGACTGGGCATCCCAGAGCCTCAAGCTCACCGCCTTTTGCATGGAGCTCGGAGCTTTCCCCGTAGCCAGAAAGTGGGAATGCTGCAGGCGTGTTGGGAGGGAGATCTATTTATTTTGGCTTTCTACCCTCGTGCGCTTTGCAGCTCCTTTTGAGCCTGTGTTAAAATGAGTCCAGGGCTTTGTGGGCGTGGGCGTGGGCGCGCATTATAACGCGTCCCTGCTGAAAGTCTTCCTCTAACTTCCACATCTGAAATAAACAGCGCCGTTCCTGTTACAGCAACAGTTGTACGTGAGCTCCAACGAAGGGATTTCCCAAGTCTCCCTGCACCGCTGTGACATCTACGGCTCGGCCTGTGCGGACTGCTGCCTGGCCAGGGACCCGTACTGCGCCTGGGATGGCCACGCCTGCTCCAGGTTCTACCCCACCGGGAAGCGGTGAGTGCCGGTTTCTGCAGCCAGCCAGGGAGTGCTCCCCTCACCACGCAGCGGGGTGCGGGTGCCAAAGCGCAGATCCTGCCCTGCTCCGCTGGCGCGGATCCTCCCCCTCCCTGTCCCAGCTCTCCGCTGGGGGACTGCGCCTCCCTGCACGGCCACTTCGCTTTGCCAACTAACTATGCCTCTTGCCTGTCGTGTTTGGTGCATCCTTCTGTGTCACAGGTCTACAACATCCCTACACTGCTTACTCACTTTATAATTAAATCTGTGTCTTCCACTTTGGGTCAGTGGAAAAGAGACATTGCTGAGCAGGAAAGTGCCTGCGAGCACTGTGGTGGGTAGCGTGGGCCCATTTGCTGCCAAAATCATGAGGTCTTGGCCTCTTCCTTTTGAGCAGTGAGAATATGGTTCTTGTTTAGCTTAGGAGGGGACAGCAGGCCGACTGCCACCTGCTGCCCCTTGAGATCTCAGCGAAGGTGCCTGCAGGAAATGCTGTTCCCATCTCTACCATCCGCAGGAAATACCAGTAGAAAAATTAATTATATGACCAAGAATATGCAGAACTTGGGGTCGACCAAGGTCACTGCTATGTCCTATCTTCTCCTGGTACCAGCAAGGTGACACTGGTGACATCTCAGGGACCTAGGGTCCGCCGAACATTAGTGATCTTTGATAAAGCATTGTGTTGATGGTATTTTATAGGTCTTATTCTGTGTAACAAATACATTTTTATGATCAGATTCATAAATATGTCCATTTTTGCATATCGGAAATATTTTGCTCCTTTTTCTATTAATTTAACACATAATTATGTCCAAACAGCACTGTCGATGATAGGTACGTAACACCAGCCATGACCAGCAAAAGCGGGAAATTTCCGTGTAACATGCTCTAAACAGGCAAAGCAGCAAGGACAGATGAAAAAATTCTCATGCGTCAGAGCACACTGAGTAAGGTCTATGGACCTCAAAGGGCAGAGAAGGCAGGAGGCACGCTGGCCGCCTCCGCCTGGTGAGTGGGCTGGCGTGCGGTTCCGAGGCGAGGGTGCAGCGCTGAGGGGCCTCAGTAAGGCGGGACTCGCCAGAGCTCCATCCAGGAGTGGGCCTGCCAGATCGGGCTGGACCGGCACTGCAGAGAAGGAGCAAAGGAAGGGCAGGAGAAAACAAGAGCGTAAGCCAGAGCTCCCAGGGCTCTCGTGTAGCTGAGAGGCTCCATCACAGGGACAGGGGACGTGAGCCGGGTTTAGAGTCTGAGAGTACTGACCTGCCTGCGTGGGGATCCTGGAGCACAAGGGGCTGGAGTGGGCCTGGGCGGAGTCCAAGACCAGGGTACGACTGGGCCAGAGCGAGAAGGGTCAGAGTAGGCTTTGCACACAGAAGTAAAATGCTATGCTATAGATAGATGATCCTTGCATATCTGAGGGTTTTTTTTTTTTTAATTGTAGAAGTTTCTACTAAGAAATGTTCTTGTATTGTCCATCTCATAACTTCAGGTACCGTTGCTAAGTCATTTATTAAAACCTATGACATAATACCATTCTGACTACACAGATATGAACTTACTGATCTCTTCTTTAAAGCCACACACAAAGGACTGTAGTTGTGTTGCTGCTCTTTCCTACTAAATTGTCCTATCTGATATTAAACTATGCATCATGGGTTAAAAAAGAAAATAGTAACCATTTAAAAAGCTGTCTAGAGCCACTCTAGCAGTGCTTTAATTCGACCATGATTGTGTCCAGTGTGCACACGCTGATCTTTCTCCCTGTGCACACAAGTGTTTTACATATTGGTGTATCTACATCAATACTGCAACTGAGCTTCCATTGTTATATATTCTAGGTTCAGACATGTACTTAGAAATGTTATTTTAATATATGAAATGCCTGAGCCTACTCATATTCATGTTTGGCTAGCATACTGGAAATTTAAGGAAAAAAAGTATACTTACTATTTAAATGCTCCAAATTCTTTCCAAATTTAATTAACAGTGTACTTATGGAGTATGCAGAGCATGTTTGCTACAAGTACCAATGATTTTCTAAATTGCCTCCTGTGGTATTTATTTTCTTTAGCTATCAAGGTAATGAAGATGATAGTTTCTCATGTTTATTTTCTTTTATAGTGGTACCTTATCCAGGATTATTCCATTTGCTCTGTTTACAGTACAAAGATCACTTGGAAATGTTCGTAGGAATGAAAAGCAAACCGCGTCCTTTGCATGGAGACAGAGAAATATGTTGTACTCAGAAATCCGTGGAGATCGTATGCTGAAAGAATAAAGTTGACAGCATTTGCTCCATTGTTTATACTTTTAGAGGAACTTGGTGCACAGTAAACAACCAAACATTTTCTTTGCTCTCTCTCAAGTGTCTTAAATATTTGTGCGTCTGTATAGCAATTTAGTCTCCCATATTATTTATTCTGGATTCAGCCATGTAGTTAGAATTTTTAAGACAAGATAATCAGTTCAATCTTCAAGTAAATATCTCTTTGACACAAGAAGACAATGATTTCATTGTTTATCCCAACGAGTTGGAGTTGGCTATCACGGATAAAACACTGGCAGTTGGGGCTGAGTCCCACATCCTATATGTGATATAACATCCCTGTGCCTAGCAGCAGGCTTTCCTGTGCTCCGCAGATGCCTTCCAGGCAGCTGCCCCAGCAGAAGGTTCTTGAGGCGCTTTAAGCCAAGTGGTAACTATGGCTTTCTGCGAATGCCCAGCTTTGGGGGCTTAGGCGCTGCCAGTGACTAAGCCCTCACATTATGCTGATCCAGGATGGTAAATTTCACCCTGAGGAAAAGCACTGCTTGTCCGGAAGGCCGAGGTGCCCAGATCAGCCGTGAGCACCCCAGAGTGCAACTCTATTCATGTTCTAGGTGGTCGGTGGGCAATAAATAATGCTGTGGCTTCAGGGCTTACCAATTAGAATGCTGCAAGGCCAGATATGGGAGCCGCTCTGCCATGTAGTATTGGCTGTATGTTCTCCCATGAGAATGGTTGTCACTACTCCACTCTGTGTGTAAGACTATGTAGAAATACATAATTTCCTAAGGAGTGTGTGACTTTTACACAAAGGTATACTTAAATTACACAAAATCGTGCATCCATGTTTCCCTAAGTAGGTGTCTCATCTGTGTGTACATAAACCATTAACTGTTGTAACCTTAATGGGAATTATTAAATTACTAAGGACTGAGGTTAACTTTGTAAGTTTAATAACCCCTATGTCATTCTAATATTTTTGTTCACCTTTCTGAATATTTCATCCGTATGGGTAAAAATAAGAAAGGAAGATTTGCCATTCAACCCAGTCAAATGATAGGTTCATTCATACATACTTTTCTTCAGAGATCATGAAGGATTTAAGTCTGCAGTCCCAAGATCTGATGAGTTCTGAGTCTTCCATACCTAGCCAGTTCCTACCCATAATGCCTTGTTGGATGGATTTTGGTTCCTACCCATGATGTCTTGTTGGATGGATTTTGGTTCCTACCCATGATGTCTTGCTGTATGGATTTCAGTTGCTCCATTTTAATTTGTGAGTCTATATAATACCACTAAAACTAAGACACTTAATGAACCTAAGATTCAGGAAGTTAAATGCAAGTAACTAAAATCTTAGGTAAATAGTGAAAAGTTTAGGAAGAATGTAACTAAATTTATGAAATGCCTCAATTATTAATAGAAAACAGCTAAATGTAAAGACTGAATCTTGAATCTTGAATAAATCCCTAAACTGTGTAAACATTTCTGAAAGTTATTTTAAGGATAGTTACAGAGACATTAATGCAAGTGCACATTAGAGGATATTAAATACATTTATTATCTTCAGTGCAGGGACAGTACATAGGGAGACGGGGGGAGGGGGTTGCAGGCTAGCTCAGTTGTTTAAGCACCTGCTGGGGCAAACAGAGTCAAGTGCAGGGGACTACAGTTCGATCCCCAGCTCCCCATATCTTAGCAGACCCGTCCTTAAGGCAGCCTGAGCTAGCCAAAACCATAAATAAATAAATAAATAAATAAATAAATAAATAAATCCTACACGGGAAGACAACTTGCTGTTGTAGGATACACTAACACATGTAAGGGAGAGAAACACATCTGTAACTGGTCTTCTCAGGGCTTCTGGGTATGTGCATACATACTACATGCTTACATGTAGGAGAGAGTAAAGTGAACTTGGCCCAGAGGAATAACTTAAGAATTTCTGTATATGCCCATGGGGCACACTGAGACTGCGATTGAGACTGGGCATGGAGGCATGCACTTGTAATCCCAGCACTTGGCAGGCTGTAAACAGGAGGATCACTATGAGTCCGATCTAGCAGGGAGACCCTGTAGAGCCTGTAGAGCCTGTCCTAAATACAGAAGGAAAAAGAAGCAGCTAGGTGCAGCACCATTTGCTCTGCTCAGGCTTCCACTTTTCTGTAGACTTGAAATATTTTCCACATTAAAAGTTGAAAGGGGAATACTTTTTCTAGTAAAGGAAAACTGTTGCTTGATTTTTATATTAAATCTATATTTTATCTCCATATCACATGTTTGAGGAACATTAATGTATCTGGAATGTGTTGGGAAGAGTTAGTTCTCAAAAAATGTGTGCTTATTTAAGAAAATTTTTGTAAGAAGAAAGAGGCTAGTGAGTTTGTACCTTAGAAATTATCATTTTAGAAAATTTTGATGAATATCTGAGCCTTGAACAAACTAAATAAAATTTATAAGAACTATTTGAAAACTAAAACTGTACACAATTACTTATAGAATCCAGCATTTGCCGGGGAAGTGTGGACACTAGCAGGTACCCAGCCATCCGCGGGAGTGGTGGTTGGGAAGACTGAACTGATTCGGATGGAAAAGTGGTGTCGACTTCCCACGCTGCTCTGGAGGCACTGAGTGAGAGTGACAGACACTTACATCTGCTCTACAGACTTTAAGAAAGTGGAAAGGGGGAAAGAAAGAAGAAAGGGACAAAGAAATACAAATGTGCATGCGCGGCATGGCTTGGCTCGCTGTACCGCTGCTTTCTGCAGGTCTACTGAAAGGCTCTGTCAATGCTGAAATTTTTTTCTCCCTAGTTTTTTTTTAATAATTTTTGACCAACTTTCCATGCTTATATCTGGTAATCTGTACAACTAATTTGAAGACAACAATATGCATGATAACATTTGTTTATTCTGTTTAGTGAAATTCTGTATCATTTCTATTTTGTTTGTCACTATTTTGTTTGTTACTTTTGAAAAAGTGAAACTCAGGCAATCCCATGCCTGCCAACTTAAAAATGAAATGTTTAAGCAGAGTGTGGTGGGCAGTGATGGTTCTCAGCCTCTTTGTTTATTTCTGCTGTTACAGGCGGAGCCGAAGGCAAGATGTGAGACACGGGAATCCCCTGACCCAGTGCAGAGGGTTTAATCTGAAAGGTATGCGGCGGGGACCGCAAGCATCTCGCCTCACGGCACGTCTCCATGTAGAAAACCACGCGGTGCATTCCACCATTTCATTTTAAAGAAAGTCACTGCATGAAAATTTTGGTACCAATTCATGATGATTAAAACTCGCATGCTATTTGTGTGAGCACTGAGAATTGCGAACAGCCCGTGTCTAGGCCCACATATGTCTGCTGAAGCTGGCATACGAACATTAGCTGATAGGTCTTTCACATGAGCAATAATTGTGAGTATTTTTAACTACTGTTTTCCTTTTCAAAAAGATCACTTAAAAATGTCCGCTGAATTAAAGCATCTGCTTAGGCAGAGAGCAGCAGCCTGGGTTCAGTCTCCAGCGTGCCACGCCCCGGGGCGAACTGAGACAGTGATTGAGGCTGGGCGTGGTGGCGCATGCCTATAATCCCAATGCTTCCAAGGCTGAAAAACAGGAGGATCACTAAAGTCCAACCTAGTAGTGAGACCCTGTAGACCCTGTAGACTCTGCGCTAAATGCAAAAAATGTGTGGGTTGAAAGACATATAGAATGGCATTACATTAGTGTGCATAATACAAAATTTATTATTTCAATCATTGGAAGATGTGCATTTCTCCAGAAGCAAGGACACATGTGATGCCCACCCTGAGTCAGCAAATATTTTTCATCTTCCTAAACTGAAATTCCCCATCCCGGTAGTGCTGCCGGACCACCCACCTCTTCCTGCGCTCTTACGCACTTATCACTCATTTGGCTACCCCAGATGCCCTACAGAAGTGAGTCTGTGCTTCTGTCACTGGCTTTTATCGTTTACCTGCATGTCTTCAAGATTCACTCTGAATTTCCTTTCTCATCTTGAAATTATTTTCCTGCTGAAAGCTGGACGACGTCCACTGCATGCGTGTACCCATTTGGCTTATCCCATCACCCAGTGCCAGGCCCCCAGGGCTTCTCCCTTGGCTGCAGGGGCAGTCTTGTGGGGAACAGTGCCCTGCTGAAGTCACAGTTGGCAATGTGGTTTACCATTGCTCCCACCCTTCCAGTCCAGACGCACTGAAGCCTGCTGGTCAAACTCTCCTCACTGATCCCCTCCCGTCTCCTCAGCCCCATCAACCAGCAGGTTCTGCAGGCAGAACTTTCTCCTGGCTCACAGGTAGGGTGCAGATGTGTAGTCCAAATCAACCTGGACACCTCTTCCTGACCTGTTCATGCCTAGACATTGCTTTAGAAAAGAATGACATTCCTAGTACTAACTGCCCTAACTATAGCAAGTAAATTCAGATTTTTCTTAATTGTTCCATGCACTGAACTGAGGGAATAAATCCAGTCCACTGTTTCTGTATTATTAAAAGTTTTAGAAAATCTGTGTAATTTCAAAAAAAAAAAAAAAACAAAAACAAAAAAACCTGACTTAAGTGCTTTTCTGTCATTTCTCATGTAATGACTTGAAGTAGAGGCTTTCATTGTCCCAGCCTTGTGAAAGAGGACCCACTCGATGCTCACACCACCACGTGATTATACTAATTCTGTGCCTGATTTCCTACTTCTGTTAAAAAGTGCAGAAATCTTTCATCCACGTGTTAGAAGTGAGCAGAGTGTAGGATCAGCGAGATGGGAGGGTCATTCATGGTCACGCAGCCAGCAGGACTCCCTCTGGTTTCTTTTGACTACAGAGACTTTGTGTTCAGCCTCTGGGTCCACTGCAGCTGCCCTGGGTCCCCGTCCTCTGCCAGGGCCTCTGAGTGTGGGCATAGGGGCGGGACAAGCCTGCTTGTTACACTGAACTTCCTTAAAGTCACATCCTCATGTGCTCAGCTGAGAAAATCTACCTACCGTGGTCATTGTAGCCAATGAGTTTCCAAAGCGTTGTCAGATCCCATCCTTAGCAAGCACTCATTCTTGTGCACATGTGCCTTCCATAGCCACAGGGCTGTACCTGCTTTTCTCTTTCTTTCTATTAAGCACAAAAGGTACACACTGCATAATAAATGCTGGTGAATGATTACTGTCTGTTTGCTCATATATCGGATCACAATTTTATAGCAATAGACATCCATATGGAAGAGCATACACAAATCTCTCTCTCTCTCTCTCTCTCTCTCTCTCTCTCTCTCTCTCTCTCTCTCTCTCCTCCCCCCTTCTATTCTTACTTTTCAGGTTACAGAAATGCAGCAGAAATTGTTCAGTATGGAGTCAAGAACAACACTACTTTCCTTGAGTGCTCCCCGAAGTCCCCCCAGGCCTCTGTCAAGTGGCTGTTACAGAAAGACAAAGACAGGAGGAAAGAGGTGAGTAGCCAGGAGGCAGCCAACCCTCAGGTCTTTGGGAAAAACAGGAAATCACCAGCTTAGCGTGGTCCACATTAAAGGAAAACCGAAAGACAAGCAGGCTTCCTTTCATATCTCCAGAAAGGCTAGTGCCACCTTCCTCAAAATACTTGGCCCCGAGAATTGATGGATTCATTAGTGATCCCCCACCCGTCTGCCCACCTCTGTAGCTTGGTAACTGAAAGAAGAGCTCGAGCACCGAGAGAGCCATGTTGACTTGAGGAAGTATTTGTAAGAGAAACAAGATGTGTGCAGACCGAGAAGCCAGCGGCCCACACAACAGCCCCTCTGTGCGGGGAAGATAAAAGGGCTCTGAGGAGTGTTCTGCTCCCCTCAGCGAGAAACCGCACTGCACGGCGCCTTTGTGCAGGAGCGTGCTCTGCTCCACCATGCTCGGTGGCTACTGCCTCCTCATTCATAAGTCTCAGGTTTCCTTCAGGTAACACACGGAGTCACTGTTTATGGAACCATGGCCTTTATTTAGGGGCATGGAAAATCACCCTAGGTTTCCAAATCAAGAGATGCAGATTCTAACATTTGCTGATTGGAAAGAAGTTTTAAGAAAGACATTGTAAGATGTCGTAGAGTGAAATGTGTGGTGAATAATGAATTCCACAATATTGGTGTCACACTGCCTGACAAATGAGAAGATGAAAAATGTGTGCGTGTGTAGAAGAGTTGGGCAAATCTAAGACGCACTATTATTAGTGCATGTGAAAGTCTGACAGAGACGAGGGGAGAGCAGAGCCCCCACGTCCATGTGCTCTCTTCTGCGAAAGCCAATTTTATTTCTTCGTACTCAGTTAATCGAGGGTATGTAAAATGCAAACCGTTTACCTAGAGCACAGCAGCTGCACAAAGTTACTGAGATGTTAGTTGCATAAGAGAAAACACTGTCCAGCTCTCAGACCTGCGGACCCCAGCACACTTTTGAGGCTTTAGGGACGGCGCCCTGTGGTGCACTGATACTTAATGTGCCGCCTAACCTTGAGTCTGACGACCAGGCCCACGTCGAGATTTAACTCTCTGGAGGCGGGAGGGACCTCACTACCCTCAGAGCCCCCATCTAGCCCTAGAAATGTGATACTTGCCACAATTAAATTTTAAAAGTGTATCTGAGGTTTTGCTATGAAATCTATTGTCAACACAATCTTAAACTTTGCACAATGTAATTAATCTACACCTCTGAGACATCATGCGGGTAATGATAGTAACTTTGCAGCAAAGTGACCTGGGGCAGCACCGGGGCATACAACCAGGCCAAGGTGCATTCTGAGCCCAGTGCTCAGCACAGACCTTTTGGCTTACCGGGACCACGTGTGAAATTTGTGATGGAGTTTGTGCATAGATAGAAGGGACATTACTTTTTTCAAGCTCTTAATGTATATTTTTAAAGACAGTAAATAATAATAATAATAATAATAATAATAA